AGGAGTGAATGTTCCCAGAGCTCAAGTCACACATGGCATATTCTATGTCTTTCTCTTTCTTTTTGGGGGGCAGGTGAGTGTACCCTTAGTTGTGTAAGGGACAGTTGCATCACCTTTGGGATCAAATGATGTTGTTTATTTTCCTTTTGGGGAAGTTCTAATCTTGGAGGAGAGAGGGTAGACTGTGCTCACTTATTCACTGCTCAGCATCCTTCCCACATTGTCTAAGGTCTCCTTGGCAGGCCAGGGGGAAAGCCAGAAATCGCAGTTCTTCCAATTCCCCTTCCTGCAGGGTTTGGCTGGAGGTTGTCCATGAGAGGTTCTCAGGTGAGACAGGAAAGATGGAAAAAAGGGAAAGCCATTCCCCGGAAACCATTGTAGTCAGGTGTGGGGACAGCTGGGGCTCCCCAGTGAGCTCTTGAGGACCCCACCTCTTTCCCACCCCCACTACCTCCCTGCTGGAGCCAGAGATGGGGGCAGCCTCCCAGACACCCAAGAATTTCAGCCATTACCTGCTATGGCTCCCCTACCCACTTCTCTTCCCGCTCTCGAAAAGTCTGGGTGAGACTGATTTCTATGTGAAATCCTTAGCTTTGTATTAAGATTTTAATATTCCAGGAATACATGGACAATTGTTTTTTGTTTTCTTTGATGAGTGCCTGTTCCCAGCCTCAGTGTCCTGGTGCGAGGCACGCATCTGTCTCTCCTACCACCGGCCCAGCCCTGCTTCTGACAGGCTTGAACTTCTCAGCACTTTGCCCAGCAGAGTTTGTTGTGGTGAATTCCGTCCCCATGCCCAAACAGGCACGGTGAGTGGGAGAACACAAGAGTGTTCTGCACTGTCTCACCACAGCCACCGTGTGGGTCTGGTGACAAGGGAAGGGTCAGCCTGGAGTCAGTCACCTGCTGTGGAGCTGGGGGTTGTCAGGTGGGCGAACTTGCCCAGAAGCACCAGAATCTAGACAGAGGCAGCCAGAGTCTGTGAGGCCAGAGCCGTTCTGAAGGAAGGGGCCTCGCTTCTGCTGTAGGTGCCCAGCCTTGACCACACCAGGTCCAGACACACGAGCGTCTCGATGGCGAGTGAAGCAACTACGCAGGAATCCCTGGCACTGAGAGGCGGCTTCCGTGGAAGGGATGGAGAGCATGGACTCCGGAGTCCCACTGCTGGCAATTAGGAGCTGCGGGACCATGGTCAAGTTTCTACACCCTTGGCCCTTAGTTTTCTCATCTGTACAATGGGCACACTGCATTGATAATATCCACCTCCTAGAGATGTTAATCCAGGTAATGTGCTTGGAACAGGATCTGACTCATTGAGTGTTAGGTGAGAATAAGCTATTATTACGATACCAAGGAAAGACAAGTTCTAGAAATAATGGAACCTTAGGGCAAGAGGGGAAGAGAGTCTGAGGATGGAATCTCTAGTCCAGGCTGCTGTGGACTCACACCAGTTTCTGTCGGGGAGCGGGGAGGCTGCAGGTGGAAACGAGGGGAGGTTTCTCACTCAACTCTGGGAGGCAATGGGGCCTGTGTTGGCGCTCAAACAGAGTTGGGGAGGCGGAGGCAGCCTCTTCCTTAGCAGAGAACACAGCCCAGTAGGGTAGCGTGAAGTGGCAGGGAGGTGACAATGCCTGGTAGGGGATATGTGCCTGGGAGCTGACCGGGCTTGCTCTGGGCCACATGCCAGACCTCCCTGAGATCTCCTAAAATAGCTGAGGGGAGACTTGGCAAGAGGTGGAAGGTCCCATTTTAGTAGAAGGTGTGAGCACTGGGTTATACTTAGATCAGAAACCAGTCCCTTGAGTGGAAAATAACCTAGGGCTTTGGTGACAGACCTGGTTGGAATCCCAGCCCTGCCATCGACTAAACTGTAAATATGTGGTGAGCAGGGGCCCTCTTACCTGATACAGAGTCCACAGAAGGAGTCAGTACTTGCGGGACTGCATGTTGTGTCCTGGAACCTCAGTTTCCCCATCTGTAACATGGAGAGGGCAGTGACCACGACCTTGATGCAGGATGGCATCAGACAATGCCCACGGGCACCCGAAGTTCCTACTGGAAACGATGTTCCTTTTGTTTTATAGTAAATATTCGGTATCTTGCTTAAAATAGAAACACAATACATTTCTTGAGTCAAACTGATAAATGCTGCTTGAGTGCAGTAAATGGCGTCTGTTCTACACTTGCCGAAGTTTAGATCCTTGCAGAGAAGAGATCATACCTCTTTCAGGCTTTTTTCCCCAACCTGATCGGTACTTTTCAAGCTCCATGCTTTCTGACGAAAATCAAAACACAGCCAGCTATTGGTAAATATCGCTGACCTTTAGAAGAGTAAAAGGTGGCAGACAGGTTACTAAATAGTCGGAGGGTACTATGATCTGACTTGGAAAAGCTACAATGTAGGAAAACATCGTTTTGGACTCAATAATTCGTAATAGGTAAACACTTCGCATTACCATCAGGCCTTTCCTTTCCATGCACATTTGAAGTGCTTTTTGACCGACGGTGTTCAGGCAAGCTTGGAATAATGGAGTTGGTACTTGCTTTTGTGCCCATGCAGGGCCTCCAGAGATGGCTGCTTCACCAACAGGAAAGGGTCTGTTTCGTGTTTGGTCCTCTTTCTTCCTCCTGACTCTTTCCAGTCAATCCTCCATGCTGTGCCACTGGACACCGGGCACCTAAACTTACTAAATCTGACCCCAAGTTTTCAAATCATCAGATCACCTCGCTCTAGCTTGCAGGTGCTTCCATTCCTCTCTTATGTTGCAAAATGCATGGGTTTTATTGTTGCTCTTTTCTTCTGAGTCAGGATAATCTTTGCTTAGCTCCCGAGGGTTGATACTATATTCTGAATGATTGAAATTGCTTGCTATTTTAACTGTCAGGATGCGTAGGATGAACTTAATTTTTTTGAAGGAGGATGAAACAAGCAGGTATCAAATGTACTGTTAATGCAGATTTGCCTTAATCTGACTTGATTTTGTATCCCTGCCTACTTATTCAATTGACGTGTTTATTTTTACATCGATTTTAGAAGACATGGTGTATTGTTAAAAGCAAAATCACTGCTTGGAAAGTTTCTTCATTTCTGACACCCTTCAATTCTGTTTCGAGATCAGAGAGACCTTCCCGCTGTGCAGAAAATATTATTTATTGATGTGGGATAAATTTTTTTTAAGAACAAGTCAAGGCTACTTAATATGAGCATATGAGCTGAATGGCCGGCATAACAAAACATATCAAAATGTGAATCACCACTGTCAGATGCAAGCTTTTAACAACTTTAATTGATATAATTATAATTAGTATGCAATATGTCTTACAACAAATGTAGATACAATTACATCAAATATCAAAGAAGTTGCACATCCAGCTTTAAATGATGTTGGCTAACTCACCCCAAGAAAGCAATCTGGCATTGGTCTCTTGGTTAGCACTATTACCAGTACCAACCAGCACTTTAAAAATCAAAGTTGAAATGGTACATTCATTTGCCAAAAAGAGGTTAAAGGCAAAGAAGGTGAACCAACGTGCAAATCAACATGGCCCAGTTGCAAAATTCATTTCCCACACACGAGGGATCGAACCATGCATCCTTGCAAGCAAGATGAAGGGCAAACGGAGGACATCAAACCAAACCCAACTCCACCAAGAACTCAGAAGACTTCAGGATGGTGAAGGCCAGAGGCCAACTGCTCTCAGCACTCAGGTGTCCATCTTCTGTTCCCCTAACCTCCTGGATCCTAACTGAAGAGTCTGTGAGACCCAGTTCTGGGGCTGTCTTTCCATTTGGAGACAGGAACCATTCTCCTGGTCCTGGGCACAGTTTACCCTGCAGTCAGCCGCACTGGGGGGTCGCTCAGAGCTGGGCCAGCTGCCTGCTGTGGCCAAGATACAGCTGTCATTTGATAGATTTAAGTCGAAACAATACACCAGTGTAACAACAAATAAGAAACTGAAACTGAGATCACTTATATATCTAGGTAATACTTAAGATGCCTATAAATATTTTTCTCCAGAAACTGAAAACACTGTAGACATCATTTCGTGAATCCTCACAACACATCTGTGAGGTAGCATGGGGTGAGGTCAATAGGAAAGCATCACCCTCATTTAAGAAATGAAGACAGACATCCAGGGAGGGCAAGAGACTTCACGGGGGTCAAAAGCAAAGAAAACAAAGTTGAATCCCACTCTTCATCTTTTGCAGTCTACGGTCTAGAAGAATCTGCTTGCCTCCTTCCTGCTCTGACAATCTATCACTTTATGACTAGTCCTATTCCTGGATGAAATATGGTGGTTTTAGATCTCCTGGCGCAATTTCCCTTGGACAGATCTGGACAGAATCTCTCCCTGATGTAGAGGACATTAATTATCAGCGTGTATTTCTGGGGTGTGTGTGTGTTTCAAGCAACATGTGTTGAATACAGTTCAAATTCTTTGGCCAACTCAGAAAAAAAGTACTTGGCAAAAAAAGGTTCAACCTATAGGTATTTTATACTGACATAACAAGGAAAGTTAGAGTTTTTTACGGGAAGCTGACACCTTGCTGAATATATTTGCTTTAGGTCCAGATCCCTCTCTTTGCCATAAGGATTTGGAAGTTAAAACCCATCAAATGCTGTTGCACAATAGAAGACTCTGGTAAGGGAAGATGCTTACTGAGTCTGTGGTCTTAACCGGTCAGTGTACCCCGTGAAGATGCCGGTCCCTCTGACCCAGTACTTAGGACTGGAACAGCATCTAGGAGAGAACCACTCTGAAGGTGTTCCATGGACATTTTGTCAAAATGTTTGTGGCTGAGGGAGGAATAAAAGGGATGTCCTGTTTTTATTGAATTGTCCTTTGCTAAACTGAAGGCCTACAGGCTTTATAAAGGGAGTGAGGGTAGAGATGAGAGACAATTATTCAGGCCCAGCATGGCCAAGGGGGCACAATGGGTAATCCCTGGGCATTTTTCTGAGAATGTCCCTTTTTTTTTTAAAAAAAAAAACAAAACCATAATCAGAGCTATCAGAATTCCTGGCGGCCTGCTTCTTATTATGTAGTCCTATTGTAAAATACCTCTGGGGCTTGCTCATTCTCCACTGATATGTAAGGAATTTAGGGATAAATTCTGAGTGTGGGAAGGCAGGCTGTGGAGAGTGGCACAGCTCCGAGCATCTCGGAATAGTGTGGCCACAGCGATTTTCCTGTTGGCACTTTGCTGGACCACAGTAAGTGACAGGTTGGGCTGAGGGTCAAATTTCTGGAAACAGCAAGGCAGCAGGTTCAAGTTTAGAAATAAAAATTGATCAGTTTCAAGTTCTTTATGGCACTAGGACACTGTAGGACAATAGGACGCATTCTGAATCAGGACCTAATCCATGAAGTTTCCTCCTGCAATCAGGACACCAGATAGCCGGTCACTAACATCAGGTGCTTCAGGAGGACAGAGTCCTCACCATGAAATAAAGCTATCTAGAGAACACACAGAAATAAAAAGGCAACCACACATGCCAAAACAATCCATCCGCCCACAAACTGAATACTTTTTAGGGAACAATTTAACAAATCATTTCATTTAGTTAAAAGTAAAAAATGTTACTAATCTGGGAGTGTCTTGTTTTGTCCACCATGGGCATTTCAGTAAACCAGGGTTTCTCGAATTCAGCACTCCCAACATTTTGGGCCAGGTGACTGTTGGTTGCGGTGGGCTCTCTTGTGCCTTGCAGGATGTTAAGAGCATCTGTGACATCTACCTCCTAGTGGCACCCCCAAGTCGTGACACTCAAAAATGTCATGAGACATTTTTAAAAGGTTCACGTGGGGGAGCAAAATTGTCTGCTTTTTGGTAACCACATCGTATCTGGACATCTGCAAACCATACCAGTTCTTCAAAATTTGAGATTGAGGAGCGTAAGGCCATGTACCCAGGAGTGTTCATTAATTTGAGGGCAGAATTAGGAAGGTAATCGTATGGGAAGAATAAGCGGATTAATCGTGGTGTCTATTTCCTGTGGAAACGCCTCACTGAGCTACTGCAGATAGACTAATCCTTTACAGTTTTTTACAAAACGGTCTGCAGCCGTTTTCCAACAGACAGAAGGCAGTGAGCCAGCTGTTTTGTGCCTATAAAGCAAGGGTTCTTTCTAGAGGTTCCTTCCAGCAGTGGATGTCTCTGTTAGTTATTGGGGGCTGATTCGTTCCCCCCAGGCGGTCGTCTGTGAGGGTCACCCCTTCCCTCCCAACCCAGTCTCCTCCACTGCCCACCGCACGCTCCCCCCCCACACCTCCCCTTTTATCTCCTCTAACTGAGCTCCTCTCCCAGCCTTCTCCTGGGGACAGCCTGCTGCGGCCGACCACAGTGGGCATCTCGGGCAGAGCTGGGCGGCCTGGAGGGCGGAAAAGGTAGAGGGCACGCTGCGATCTGACAGCAACATGCCACGCTGTCCCTCGGCCTGCTGGCCTCCTCCAGGGCACCTTCTAGTTTCCTCCTCCACTAATTAGGCCGTTAAGAAGCCGGGACCCAGCTCACAGAGCCAAGCAGGCAACGTGTCAGATACACCAGGTAGAAACAGAGATTAAAAAGGAATCGGAGCAGCCCCTGCTTCCTCACCTGCAGGGTAAAATACTCCCAGGGCGCATTTCCTTTCCCTGCACCGAGATCTCATGCAATTTCCTAACTCGAAAGTTTGAGAAGTACCACCAGCAAAAAGTTCCCCTAAAAGTAACCGCCGATGCAAGGACTCACTCCCTGGCCCTCGGCCCCTCTTACAGTGGATCCCGCGGCGGGCACGGAGGCTTCCACCACGGCGGTCTGGCTCCGGGTCTGCCTCCTTCAGCTGCAGGGAAGCCTCCACTCACCTTTAAACAATGATTCTTTTTGTACCAGAAAGGGGAAGCGATAGCAGCCAGAGGAGAGGGAGGAAAAGAAAACAACCAAACCAACGAAACAGGGCTTAAGAGATTGTCGCTCGATGCGTGTCAGGAACTTGTATTAATTCTACTGGGAAAGCGCTTATAAATAAACAGTTCCTCCTCGTCCCAGCCTCGCTCCTTTGTTAGGAGTCGTCGTACAGAGGGTTGTTGTAGTTTCCCCAGGATCCGTAGTCATGATCGTCCAGAAGCCTCCCGTAGGAGGAATGCCTGTGGGGGGAGGAGAGAGCTGCAGTTATTTGGAGCCGTTGCCTGTCCTAGGGGAGCCGAATGCCCGGCAGCCTGCATGGGGGAGGTTTTCAGGGCCCACAGGAGGGGACACGTGATTCTTCCACCCACCAATCCTGGAGGCCTCAGTCTACAAACTCATGGAAGTTAGGACGGCTTGCTCACGGGGGAGCCCGGCGGGCACCTCCCATTGAGGTCACCCGGGTCCTGGTCTCTGTAGTGATCTTTAGAGCTGGAGAAGCAGGAGGGCCCATTCCTCTGGCTACTGAGTAAGAAGTAGTAGCGAAGGGAAGGTTGCGTTCCTGGCATTTGACTTCGGTCCTAGACCGAATTTTCCTAGGAGTCATGAGGACGCCACCACAACCACTACTGCTCTCACAGTATCGTGTTTTACAATCTACACCATGTTTCTGTGTTCCATTTTCACTTGATCCTCAAAATAAAGCCACGGGGCCGGTATTGCTTGTTTCTCTGACAGGGAAAGATTTCTCTCTCCGAGCTCTTGAAAGATGGGCACGAAGTTACCCAACTGAGCTCTGAGTCAGATTCTCACCTCCTGGGTCTAGATCCCGTGCTCTGAGCTTCCTAGAGTGTGATTCACATCGTTAGTTCAATGGCACCTTGGGTTTAATCAGCTTTGATTGGTCATTTTGGGAACCTGTCTCACAATATTATTTCTGTAAGAAACTGAAATCAGATAGTTCTCACTCCTCTGTTTAAAACCTTAGAGTGGCTCCTTATCTCACAGAGTGAAAGCCAAAGTCGTTCGCATGGTTTGCAACACCCTCTGGGATCCGGCCCCTGTTATTTTTCTGAGCACATCAGCTGCCATTCCAGTCCTTCTTGTTCCCTCTGCTCTAACCATGCCTCCTTGCTCCTCCCTATCACGTCTGGCACACTCTTGCCTCAGGGTCTTTGCATGCACCATTCCCTCAGCTTGGAGCAGCTGGCCTCCAGATCTCCTTCCTTCACCTCTGTCAAGTCTTTGCACAAATATCACCTTCTCAGTGAGGCCTTTCTTAAGAACCCTAACTTGGAACTCCCACCCCCCTCTCCCAGCTTTCCTGGCTTAATTTTCTCAAAGTACTCATCACCTCCTAACATACTATATAATTTACTCATTTATTTTGTTATTGCCACCTTCCCTGACTAAACTGTACATACGGATGATCTGCCCACTTTGTTTGTGCTTGGCACTATCTCCAATGCCCAGAAAAATATCCAGCACATATAAGTCCTTAATAAATGTTTACAGAAGAAACAGTGATTGGAAAAAGAAAAAAAATCTCTGAAAGCCAATCTGTTCACAAGAGGGGAGCTTCCCAGAGAGGATTACAGTCATTGTATGACTAAAAGTGCGGTCAGGATTAAGAGAACATCACAAATTGAGCATAGACTGGCTCTCAGGTTCATGTTCGTGCGTGGATGATTACACCCGGTCACTGGAAATCACAGAGGCTGTATAGCATACCAACACACAGGCTGCTCCCCCTAATTTTTTTCTCAGCTCGACAGGAAAACTGAACAAAATGAAAATACAATCTGAAAGGCACAAGCAGCATTTGTTATACTTCTATCTGTTGCTAAAATCACTATTGTCTCTCTTCTGAAGTTATTTACTTATGCCAGACATCTGAAAAGAGAGGATCTGTTGCAAAGCACCAGGCCCCTGCAGACTTGGTTTCAGATTCTTAGTCCTCTGAATTCTGCAGACTGGCTCAGCTGACCCCGCCCGGGCACCTGCAAATTTGAGGATGTTCCACAAGACCCTTTCTTCACCCTAAAGGCCCACTCATTTCTGTGGGTGTGAGGAGGACAGAGACCGCAGATAACACACCAGTGATCTTCTGATCCCCGGGAAGAGGGGAGGCCAGTTTTGGTAAACAAGGTCACTGGCCACACATCACCAACCCCTCCCCCACAGCTAACACCTCCTGCCTCGATCGAATCCTTCAACAGGATGGGATGGTTGAGCAATGGGAGCTCAATGAACAAGTAAAAACCTGGGGATTGCTCGACTGGAGCCACGCCTAAATTTTAGTATGACTTACTGTTGCAAGCCTGGCCAACATCTACCTAATAAACCTGCTCCTTTATTGATGGGATACTCCTGCCTCACCTTTGTATGGTAATATAACTTCTCGCAGCATTTTATATCTATCATATAATTTTATTCCCACGAAGTATCAGTTAGGTCAACAGATGTATGTCCTCGGCTATTTTTTTAATCCCGTGTTTCTTCACCTATAAATTGGAGAAACTTAAAATGTGTTATTACTGGTGGGAGGATGAAATGAGGTAATGCATATAAAGCCCTGGCACATAGTAAATGCACAGTAAGTGTTGGCCAGTATCCCTTTTTGATGTTTATTATAATGAAACTTACAAAAGCACATGGCAAACCTGCAAACAGTGGAAAAGGGCACAGAGGGAAAAGCAAGCCTCCCTCCTGCCAGGAACTCCTAAAAGCACACTCTGGGCACAGTTATAAAACCGGTTTCTTATTTGATTGTTTGCATTTTTTTAAAAAAGCATTATGCTGGAGGGTCAGAGGATTAACAATCTCTTGGTCATCAGGTTTTCCTGCTTATAGTTAGTCCAGGCAAGACTATTTGATCAGAGTTCTGCCTGAATCTGCTGTATTATAAGAAACATTCCCTACGCGAATACCAGAAAAATAAAAGCAAAGGATGGATCTTTACTTTCATTTTTCTTTGCCCTCTTGTTGGAATGAACAGGGAGTTAAGCAAAATACCGACAGCCAAGGACCGTGAAGCCAAGGACCGTGAAGAGATATAGATAAGCCGTATTTGGGAATGTACTGAAGCCGGAGACCTTGTTTTAATGTATTAGTGTGTCTGAGCAAGAAGCACTGGGTGTGCTGGGACGCAAGCCAGGTTTGGATCAGTCCTCTAAGACTGTAGAGAGAGGAAGACGAACACGTGTGTGCGTGTGTACATGTGTGTGAGGTAAGACAAGAATAACTAATGATCCTTTTAAACTCTCTCTCTAGGTCAGAACTTCTTCAGTCATGCACATCTTAGATGGCGAAGGGGAGGTTTCCATATGGGTCCTCGGGGAGTCCATGAGGGGGAACAACCTCGCCTTCGAGTTAGGGAAGGTGGGGCTCGAGGAATCCATGTGACTTAGTGGCAGAGCTGGTGCTGAAATCCGGGTCTTCTGGCTCTCTTGTGCAGCACTCCTTCAGCTCGTTTCACCCAGAAGAGCAGTGGGTACCAACGGCATCATCGCCAGGGCACAGCAGCTTGGTTTCCTCAATTTCTTCGTCAAGCCCGGTGCCGTCCCATACAGCCAGCGCAGCCTCGCCGTGCCTCGGCTCCCTCAGACGGTACACCTCTTGGGGGCAGACCGCCTCTTTTCTGCGCATCTCACACGCGGTTCTTCCACGAATGCCTGATGCCGAGGGCTCCCACCAGGTACACATGAACAGTATAGACGGAGTTTGCTCCGTCAGCACCAGCAGGGACTCGTACAGTCCAGGGCAATTCCTTGTGTAATATAACCGGAGCAGAGGGGAGATATTATTAACCAAGCCAACGGGTCAGAGCCACCATTTTGACCTTAATTATGAGAAGAGGAAAGAGAATTTTAGCTAAATTTCTCTGAGGCAAGGATGTAGCTTTAAAGCACTCAGCACAGAGCTCGCAGTCCCTGTGGATCAATGGCCCTGCTCTGTGAGCCGCATGTTGCTGCTACTGTGCAGCTTAGTGAGCTAAAAGCAGAACCCACGGGGTGGGTGGTGATTTATGTCAAGTGCGTGATTTATGTCAAGTCCTGGTCTCACGGCTTCCTTCTCAAATGGCTTGCTTTAATGAAGCAGCCCTTCCTCCTCCCCTCGTCCCTAATTGCTGATGCCCTGGGACAACTGGTACATGCAGCGATGACATCTGCGGTTGGAGGCCTTCTCCGCAACTGCACTGTGGTACCTATTTTTTTTTAAACTTTATTTATTTATTTATTTATTGGAGAGAGAGACAGAGAAAAAGAGAGAGAGAGACAGCATGAGCATGGGGGAGGGGCAGAGGGAGAAGCAAGCTCCCCGCCGAGCAGGGAGCCTGAGGCAGGGCTCTATCCCAGGACCCTGGGATCATGACCTGAGCTGAAGGCAGATGCTTCACCAACTGAGCCACCCAGGTGTCCCTGTGGTACCTCTTTTAAGATAACTGCAGCGGCAATACTTAATGGAACCTAATTGTCTTTGAAAATGAATGAAGTGTTTTCCTTCCCTTGTGTGGACACATAGTTGTTGGCGAAAACACCTTCTTCTTTCTAAGGGTCAAGCTCAGGGCTTCCTCCGGGTTCCAGCTTTGCTTACTATCACACCGCCCCAAGTTCTTTCCTCTCGAGTCAAGTGAGTTTTGTCATTCAAACGTAAGTGCTCATCATGTGCTAAGAAGGAAGGATATAAAGATGGAAAAAATATGGCTTAGTGCTGGGAAAGCACAGCCTAACTTACAGCTCGTTAGTTGTTGGTAATTAAGCCTCAGACTCTTACATCCAGTTGCAAAGCCAGTTTGGTTTAGCTGCCACTGTCTCCTTTGCTTCTGTTGGGGGCTTCTTGCTTTCTCTGATTGTCCTTTCCCTGCCTGGCTCCTTTCATGTAAAGATTCAATGAAACCTTATAACCCATTAGGCCCTATTTGGGGGCCGGGAGATGCCTCAGTGAGCTAAACAGACCAAAACCCCTGTTCTAAGGAAACTTCCATTCTGGTGGGGGGGGGCAGGCACAACAAATAAGACATGAAAAATAATATGGCGGATGGTAGTCTGGGCCGTGGAGGACAGCAGAGCAACCGAAGGGAATGAGGAGTTCCAGTGCGAGGTGGGGACGGTCATTAGGAATATGGCGATCAAAACAGTCTCACTAAAATGACGGGTGAACAGCCGGTGAATGAGGTGTGGGGTGAGGCACGTGGATGCCTGAGGTAAACCATGCGGAAAGGACAGAAAGTGCAGAGGCT